TGTCAGTTACAGGAAAGAAGCTCTGGTGGTGCAGTTGTTAAACCATTCAGCTTCTGCTTCCATAAAGGTTTACAGCCTTGGGAACATTATGAGCCAATTTTACTCTGTCCTGTAGGGTCGCTGTGAGTTGGAATTGACTTGATAGCAGTGGGTTTGGTGGGTCAGTTACAGTACACAAGGAGCTTTGGTGGCGCAGTGGTTAAGCGCTGGGCTGCTAACCTAAAGGTCTGCGTTTGAACTCACAAGCTCTCTGCGGGAGAAAGATGAGGCAGTTTGCGTTTGTAAAGATTTACGGCCTGAGAAACCCTATGGGGCGGTTCTACTCCGCCCTACAGGGTTGCTAAGAGTCAAGAATGGACTCCATGGCAACGGGTTTCAGTTACACAGAGAAGCTACGTAGAGATACAGTTGCTGAGATACGATCTCTTTGCCAAGATACAAAGTCTGAATACATGGTCCTTACATGTGTAATATTTCTTTCCTGACTCTACCAATCATCCAAAGTTCTGCATGCAGAAGTCCTCGGGGCCCCCGGAAGACCCCGCAACCAGGCATCCTTGATCACCCAATCTGCCTGGCTTGATATAGAACCCACACCAGGAGAGTAACTCAAAGGGTTAACAAGCAGTGCTTCTCAGAATGACAGATAGAGAAGCCAATAGGGTGCTCAAGGAAGGCAATACGTGTAGTGTGGGCGGGCGTGGAACCAGCAAACTGGAACAGACTTTGGTCTAGCGGCGAGAGGGCAGCCTGGAATTCTAAGGAGGCAGTAGCGACCTGAGGTAGAGGGAAAGCAGGGGTTGCATCGGCCCCTTTTGTCTGCTCTCAATTTATAGTTAGGGGTCTATAACAGCGGGGACATCCCGTGGTCAGGTGTATGGCCACGGAATTACATTTTCCAGACTCTATGCCCTGTCACAACCAGCAAGTAAATTCTGCCTCTACCCCAAGTCCTGAGCCACCGCGACCTGGCGACCCGATCTTGGAACATGCCCTGGGAAGCAGCGCCTCCTTGGCCAAGCTGGCTCTTTTCATGGGGTACAACCCTTCCAGTGTACCAGCCGAGGGGGATCCCCAGGCCTGTGGCGGAGCCAGCCTCAACTCCAAGAGCAACAGTGGCAACAATGGCAGTGGCAACAATGACGCACCAGCCGGTGATCCCCTCCTAGGGGACTGCGAACTCTCCTGGCAGATGGGGGCGCAGCTTAAATTGCTGCCTATGAATGATCAGATCCGGGAGCTGCAGACTATCATCCGGGACAAGTGAGCAAGGGAGAGGAGAGAGAAAGGGAGGTGGAGAGACTTGGAGGGGATGGGCAGGAATTGGAAGTAAAAGGGCTAAGGGATAGTCTTTGGGGCGATGGTTTAGGCCTTGGTAAATAAGTCTGGAGAGATTGGAACGGGGTAGTTGAGCTTTTCTTTGAGTCGGGGTGCAGGGGTTATGTGACTCAGGCCTCCAAGCTTCTCTTTCCTAGTCTTTAACGTCTCTTTGTGTACGGAGGAAACCTCTAAGGAAGGCTTTAGCCTCCTCTTTCATTTCTGAATGATAGCAAGTCCTCAATTGTTAGTTGCCCTCTAGTGCGTTCCGACTCATGGCACCCCGTGTGTGCGGAGTAGAACTGCGCCACATGGTTTTCAAGGCTATGACCTCTCAGAAGCAGATCACCAGATCTGACTTCCAAGACTTTTCTGGGTGGCTTCCAACCACCAACCAACCTTTCCGTCCTTAAGCATTTGCGCCACCCAGGGACGACTCCTCAGCCATTACAAGCAGGTAAACAGCCTACACAACTTGCTCAGTGCCCTACTGCAACCCAGAAATGGTTACTATCCAAGCTTATGATCTGCCTCCTATCACCCCAGGCTCGCAAACGGAGTTAAAGTAATGTCAAAGACATGTTGTAACCAACAATATAGATACACTGGCCCTTTAACATCTACTACTGCAAATACGTTATTATATTGTCTAAGGTCTTTTGAGTCTTGGAGTATAGGTTTACTTGGCCATGTGAAAGCACTCTTGTCAAGATTGTTGTGTTGCGAACTTATGTAGAACATCAAATGATTATTGTGTAGTTAGAGGAGTAAAAGAAGCACAAAGGAGGCTGTGGTCCCTCCTAATCTCACAGCCAATACGCTCAAAACTTCATATTCTATTTTGAGGGCGTTTCTAAACCCATGCTGTAGATGGTTTTCTCATGGAAAATATTTTTTCATGGTTAACTACACCTAGTTTCCTTATTAGCAGCACTTTAAATGCATAGCCATGGCATGTAAAACACCTATTTTTCAGTGGGGAGCAAGTCTTAATCTTTTGAAAGTGGCTCCTGAATGTTACGTTGCCACTCTGTAAATCAAGCTCTAGTAACTTTTTCTTTGAACTATTGTAACATGCCCCTAATTTGTTTCACTGCCTCCAGTCTTTCTTTCTTCCACATGCACTCACATACTACTCCACAGTCTTCATAATATATAGATTTGATTAGATAACTGCTTTGCTTTGCAGCCTTCTTTGGCTCCTGACAATCTACCAAATAAAGTCCAGGATCCTTACTTACTCTGATATGGCAGCCCCTCCTCATGGTTCCTAGGAATCATTCTGAAACATCCCTCTTCTGCTCTCCTTTGGAATTTCCTTCCACTGTTTTTGCTGCATATTCGGATCCTGCCTATCCTTGAAGGTCAAACTCAGCATTAAAAGTCCACCTCTGCCAAGAAATTTTCCTTTAATCATTCTTCCCTGGCCTTTTTATTTTATTTATTTATTTTTTATTGTGATTTGGGTGAAAATTTACAGAGCAAATATACTTTCCATACAGCAGATCGCATACACTTTGTCTCATGACATTGACCACAATTTAGCACAATGCAACATCTCCTCTCCCACTTCCTCCCGATAGGTACCGCTTCCCTGTGTCTATCCTTCCATGCCCTCCTACCCCCTGAGCTGTCTCCTTGTGCCTGAGCAGCCCTTCTTTCTCTCTTGCTTGTTCTGTCCAAAGAGTGTATCTACCTCAGGTAAATGCTCAACTAGAATGCCTGTCTACTGCTTGGCTGGAAGCCACAGGTGTGTGTTCAATTCCAGACCTGAAGGGCAGCTAGGGACCATAGTCTCAGTGGTTCCACCAGGTTCCATCGTGTCAGCAAACCTGTTCCCCGCTTTTTTTTTTTTTCAAATGATTTTGAGTTTTGTTCCACATTGTTCCCCCTGTCTCTCCAGGATCTCCTACAAAGATCCTCTTTCAAGTGGTTGACAGTAGTAGCCAAGCACCATCTATTTCTTCTGGTCTCATAGTCGTATAGGCTGCAGATCGGATGGTGTACCAGTTGCTAGGACTGATTGTTTCCATGAATTTTTGGTTTTCTTCATTCTTCTTGGCCCTGGACGAGGAGAGACCCATCGTTGCATCTAGATGGCAGCTTGAATGCTTTTA